AAAATTGTAATACAAATGAATTGCTTGTTTATGTATAATACATACTGTGCTAAATTCTTGGGTCAGCCGTAATTTCTTTCCATTTCCTTTCATACTTTCTTGTCATTTTTAACATGGTCTCCATGCTTTGTTACTAGTAGCCAGTCGCAAAAACACATAATATATTCCAATCTCTTTACTTGAATGTATAAAGACAACACAGTTTGAAAGGCGTACAATAGTATTTTGGTACAAGTAAGATGATTTCTAAAGAGCTATTAGCTCAGCTAACTTATCTCACTGTTGTGCTGAGTGTGCGGTTACAACAAAACTGAGGAAACTGGATAAGTGGAAGACAAAATATTGGGCCTAAAAAAACATTAAGATTTTATCCAGTGGTGTTGGGATCTTGACAAAATGCATGTAATTATGAATGCAGACAGCATCCAATTCATTTTTCAGCATGACAATTATCCCAAACACACTGCCCATCCAGTAAAAGCATACTTGGAGAGAAAAACACAAAATTGAACACTATCAGTCATCGATTGGCCTCCCTAGAGTCTGGACCCCAACATTATTGAGGCAGTGTGGGATCATCTTGACAGAAAGCAGAACAAAAGGCAGCAGACAGTCAAAAAAGAGATATTTGCATGTATATTTGCACATTTCAATAAATAACATTTTTCCAGCAGAATTCTGGAACAAATATTTCTACTTAACATCGTCTGAATATTAAACCTGGCCTCACAATATAAAACAGTCTCTCTGGCCTTTTAGCTTCTAAATGTTCCACTTAGTTTGTCAAGTAGTTCCTGCTTTGTGTATCTTTCTGTGAGGCTCAGGTACTGTAGTGCACAGTCAGCTTTTTTTTTTTTTTGGCTGGGAACTGCTTTCTGCTGCATTTAGTGCAGCTTTAGATTAAATTAAAGGAATACATTACTTGAAAAAATGTTGCTTTAATGTTAGCAGACAAAGGATAACTCTTTGTACGCGTGTGATGGCACTCAACTCTATGACTGCAGTACATCGAATCCATTTATTAGCACACCTGTATTAGGAGTGTGGCTTCATTTTTATTTGTGCTTTTAAAAATGTGCACAAAAGAAAAGCCAAGGTTGGCAAAACTAATGCAGGGAGAAGGCGAAAAAAAAACAGTGGACTTGAAAAAAGTCACCTGTCTGTTCTTGTTTTTCTTCCTTTGTAGTTCACATTGCCGTAATATGCAGTTTAAAATTCAGCCGCTCTATAATTGGACTGTACCCATGTTGTACTGATGAAATCACCTCACTGTGTCTTCCCCCTACTTTAGTTAATGATGAGCTTTGCTTTCCAATGATGATTATAAAATGACTAAACACGAGCTCTCTGTGTAACCATTGTGTTGTTTTTCTAAAGCGAATAGACTGCAGATTCAGTGAACCACACGAGCCCTGCTGCTGCTGCCATGCTTTCTCTGTATTGTCAAGAGTCAGTCACATGACTTTAGTGGTTATTCAGAATTAGGTCAGAGCTGGGCCCAAGGGAAAACTCCACAGTGACCGCTCCAAATGGTGTCTTCAGTATGCACCATCTGCATGTGTATAAATGTGTGCTTATGATCATATGTGCTTTGTTAAGACACTGACCTGCGCGTAGGTCTGCAAACATTAGCTAAGGTTGAACTTCTAAATCATTGTGTGAGTTTCACTGTGTAGATGTTAGAAGATTTGCGGATGAATGTTTTGGATGCCAAATACTTATTATTTACTTATTATCTGTGAGCTGCTTCAATTTGATCTGATATCGCGTAGAGATACTTCTGGTGGTACATTACTTTAGCTCCAAGGACTAGATTTTTAAACAGTTGCTGCATAAATTAGACTAATCCATATCATCCTGGCACTCAGCATCAATGTCTAAAAGATCACATCAGTCTTTAGGATATGCCCAACATAGGCCACAAGGCCACGTATTAGAAGTTGGATCATCCTCTTCGAGCAATCTTTCTTCTCTACTTAGTCAGCCATTATAAAAAAGCATCATGTGATCAAGGGTCTGATGTTGGAAGATGATTAAGTTTCACGAATCATTACCTTTGGGGGTCTCATTATGTGGTAAACTCCATTCTGATTCATACACTGCATCCCCATGGGCCCCCTACATACACATGTAGACTTAAACATTTAGCTTGACTTTGAACTGTATGCTGTGGTAATAGCCCAGTGTGTCTTCCCTCACCGCTCTATACATTCCCAAAAGGTCGCCTATAGTCAGCCACACCGTAATGCATATTCATGCTTATCCCCACAGTGGGATATCCTCATTACTCAAGAGCAAAATACTATAGGCCCATTACCAAGTGAAGAATGGGGTGGGCACAGAGCCTGTTATTGCTTTTGTTGCGAGCACCAACTCGCTAATGGTTAATCATCACGCGGTAAATAAGAAAATGGATTATATGACAGACCAGACAGTTAATAACTCATTTATCATCATCTGCCTTTTTGAAGAGTATCACCAGCCCAGTGATCGCAGTCTCCACTTCTCTTCAAATGAGGGACTATCTTTTGGAACATTTGTGTGTGACAGACGCAGAATAATTTATGCGTGTTGAAAGTACTGTCACATCAAAGCAAACTCCACTTTCAGTATATTTTCAGCCGTTTCATCTAGATGTGATTGACTCTACAGCTAAGCTAGAGCCATAAGTCTTTCATCTTGCTCTATGACCTGCCCCTCCCACTCACTCCTCGGACTCAGTCGACGTAAACACCATCATTGCATTGAGCTCAGTATTACGGGAGATTTCAGTTTTATTACAGTGGTTATAACTCCATATTTTATATTTTGATCAAATTATTTCACATTTACTGACTGATAATTGCTGTTAACTGATAATTCTCTCTGTCTCTAGTCCTATAGAATCCTGCCAGAACTTCTACAAAGATTTCACGTTACAGATTGATATGGCCTTCAACGTATTCTTCCTTCTTTACTTTGGCCTGCGGGTAAGCTGGTGCATGCACACAACCATTTTTTACATGCATATGCTGTGCACATGGATGTACTACAAAATACAGCCATATAGCTGTTGTTTAATCTTCAAAAAGGCTCTTTAATGCATCTGACTTCATTCATTTATTGCTTTTTATTGCTTTTATTTTTATGATGGCATAAAAAACAGTTACTTTGAGACACAGTAATCTTGTAGGACAGCTGACATGCATGTGCAGACTTTTACCTTAGTCACCCATTACTCAAACAGAAAATTTGTTTGAGCTTAGTTTAAGCTGACATTGCTGTAACGATGTTCCCAGCATGGCAGTCATGCAAGAGCAGAATTCCGATGGTGCAAATGCCATCCGGATGCTTGACATCCTGAATGAATGAAAAAAACAAACAAACTCATAAGCTGCTTACACCAACAACCATTACTGCATGACTCAGCAAGTAGGGTGAAGCGTTTGTCATTGTGTATAATAAGTCAGCATTGTCAAAAGAAGACACAGCAGTTTGAAGAGCAGGCTGTGGCAAAGTCAGGATGTTTTGTGCAAAATTAACCTTCAGTTGTCCCCTTTTTTCTTTTTGACAGTTTATAGCAGCCAATGACAAGCTGTGGTTCTGGCTGGAGGTCAACTCAGTGGTTGACTTCTTCACTGTTCCTCCTGTGTTCGTCTCTGTCTACTTAAACAGAAGCTGGCTTGGTAAGTTTCCATATCCATAAACGTAAACTTATAGCTCTCACTCTATCGACCCTATTGCTTTTCCTTTCCGCTTATTTTTAATGATTTTCATCCTCACATTTGTGTCTTTCTATTCCTTTTTGCCCTCTGTCATTGAATGCCACCCTTCCTTTTATCTCCTCCTATCACTCCCACCGTCTCCCCATCACTGGGAGCAAGTCTCGGAGGCTCTCTTGCTTGCGGCTACAGTCAATGTTCCCTCGTCATTGAAAGTGACAGGGCTGGGTTCCTCTGATGTTTCAGGGAACACAGACACAGCAGAGTGGATCATCTAATGGGAGTGAAAGTGACTCAGAGTAGGGCTGTGGCTCGGTGACTCTCCATGTTTGTGCTTCACATTCATTAGTTTTTGGTCCGTCGAGGCGTTGCACCTGGGGTACCTCACAGTGCTGTACCATCTATTAGACTCATTCACATCCATGCGAACAAAAAAATGCACATGTAAAAGCATGTGATATCCCCATACACACTTATACACACTCTCGCATGAGCAGACTGGAAAATACCCTAACCTGCATTACATAACGACCTATTTTTTCCCCACTGTGTTTAGATGATGTGACCTAAATTACATTGCAGTTCTTTGTAGGTGTGTTCTTTTTTGGATGCTCTGCCTTTCTGCTTTTAAAAACCTCAAAGAAGAAGCTCCTTCGTGCCGACACTATTCCAGCGTTGGTCTTATCGTGTCTCTGGTATACAAAAATTGCTGAGCGACAATGTTAATGCAGTAGTCACACTAATACTGACATTTAAGCTTCCTTCAAATTGCTATTTTTGTCGAGTTTGTCTCCAACACTCTTTATCAGTAACAGTAGGAGTGCTCAAATAGTACAATTAATTTAATGTGACCGTTTCAGGGTGCTCTTGGTGTTCACTGCTACATTTTTAAGGATTTCACTGAGTTTTAAAAGAGTAGAGCAATCGATATTGCCATTGGCAAGGTTTTTGTCAAATTTGAGAAGAAACACGAGGAATCACTCGATAATGCTGGTTTTCCTCAGGTTTTTATTTTTTTACATGCCCGCCAGAATCACTGACTCTGTGAAGTAATGTGAGGCTGTGAATGTTTGATCTCTGAGTTGATGAAGGTTTCTTAAGAAGCGCAGAGTGGTTCGCGAATTTCACACGGAACAAGCTGTGTAATGAATTAGACGTGGCCAAGCCAAGTAGTCTGGTTTCGTGATGCAAGGTGTCCTCATCTCCTCCCCAGAAGACTGTTGGTGTTAGGCCCTTGATGAGGATGATGAAAGATTGTGAAATGGTGGTCTGGCTGCTGGCTGATGTTCTGTAATGATTATTAAATATCCTGCATGTGGACTTGATGCAGGAAAGAACAACACCTTAACATATAATCCAGCTTCATTGCGAGCTGTTATCCTTAAACAAAATGTGCCTATAATGTTTTTTTTATTTAGAGATGCCCTAGATTCCAGGGCTCTTCATTATTTTTAAATGGGGAGACTCAGTGCGTTTCAGTTTCACAATGGTGACACGAGAGGTGGCATCTCAACCTCATAAAAACAAAGACATTTTTTATTTCAGTGTTGGACTTGTCTAACAGCAGCACAGGAAAAGAACAGAAAACCCTCTGTCATGCGTTGGGATGGGTTTATTTTTACTGGGCGTTGTGTTTAATAGCAACATAAAGTGCTGCGAAGCCCATGTTATAAAATTAACAGAGCGTCGATCTGCAGTAGGATGTGACGGTCGATTTTAGAATACCAATGATGTGCTGAAAGTGTCTTCATAATCAGGTCGAGAACCTGAGAATAGCAGTCATTATTAACTGCTTATATCCTGTATTAATAAGGGAGTTAATATGGAACTCTGTGGTGGGAGGAAAATAAGCACAATTAAACGGTATCAGTCGGAAAATGTACCTGATCTGCTTTCTGATGGTGACCTTTGCAATTCACTGTTAAATAAATGAAATTGCCCGTTTTGCTTTAGCTGTGTATGTGGTTGTTCACTTCCATCAGACAGCTTAACAGGGCCAAAACGAGCAAATGCACAACTGCTGTTACTTTGCTTTAGTTAAGTGTCCATACTGTTCCTTAACACAGGTTTTGTTAGAAGCTATGGTGGCTGTTAAGAGTGCGTATTGTGCTCTTCAATCCCCTTGGATTGGTTCATCTTCACTTCAATTAGCTGGTAGGGAATACACACCACACACCAGGCAGCATAATATATCACAATTATACTACCTCTCGTTTCAGTCCTGGAGAAGACCGTTGGAAATTCAGTGGAGGTGTGCCCGGTTAATAAAAAGCCCACTAATAAGGGCTCTGCCCTGTGCTCTGTGGTAGAGTATTTGCCCACTTTGCACACAAGGCAGTGCCTGTATACGCTGTGCACATTTTAAGTCATGTTCTCTTTGGCTTTGCAAATTGGACATTGATTAAGGGGAGGAGAATGATGTGAGGCTAATGTAAGAGTAGAGTTCTTCCTTGGAAAAGGGAATTAATCTCCTTTAACTACTTGAACTTAACATTTCTCCCAAGAGTCCTGACAGTGTGGGATTTGCCGTTTGAAAGATGCTCATAGATCTTGTGGCTACTGAGCCTTAGCTTTCACACCCTGTAAGTTAACTCCATGCCTTTCCACCACAGCCATTACAGAGGACTACCTTCCAAGTTTTAAATATTTAAGGAATAAAACAATTTTTTAAAGACAAATGGCATCATGAAAATACCTAAAGACAATTGCACAGTCTATTTTATTTCTGTTTCATTGTATTTGATTAAAGTGTCTTGTTTTTGGATAGCCAGTAAGAAATGGTGTCAATCTAACGTTATTGAAGCTTCACTGGCCTGAAGAATGTGCAGTAGTTTCTAGCCTTCAGACATTCCTTATATTCTGACATGCTACTGCCTCCTAGTGGTGGGTTAGTTTATTGGTTTCCTGCTGAAAGAGGCTTACAGTACCTGATATGGGCATGATCGCTTTATATGGCCCTTCAGCCCATGGTAGGGAAGGGAAACTATTTTGAGGGAAGTTTAAGCCTCTTTGGTATAGCCAGGCTTCTCGCGTGTTGCAGTTTGAACGTTTTTTTTTTGTATGTATTGATAAATATGGACTGTTTATCCTCCACGAATGAACAGGAAGAGTCAGTGCTGTGTACACTTGCTGAGGATCTGTGTGTTTAGATTAGCGTAGCATCATATAATCTAATCCTGGCTTGGTTTACTGTCAGTGTTATCCCAGATGAACTGCTCCAGCCTGCCGATTGATAAAAAGCCCCAGAAAGCTGCCCATCCAGGACATGTGACACAGAGGCAGTGCTTGGGCTTGCAAAGCCTCAATTAAGTAAGAGCAGGCACAGAACAGAAAATCTTTTTTTTTTTTGAATGAGCATCTGGCAAGCTGACACATGTGTGCAAGAGGCTTTGGCATGTGCGGGAAAGAGATTTTCTCATACATGAGCACAGCAAGAGAATTTCATTGAGGGTTTTTTTTTTGGTTTGTTTTTAACATAATTTTTTACATAATACACTTTTTTTTTTATAGAAAATAAATTATTGTGTGTTATAATTGTTGGAGGCCCTTGTGGGGCTTTTTTTCTTGCTCTCACTCAGTGTAGGTGAAGTCTCAGATGTGATAGCGTGAACAGATATTTGTCCACAAAGTCTCACAAAGTGTTAAACGCAAGACAAAAAAAACAAAACAAAAACCGCACAGATGTACAGCATAACACAAACACAGATGCTTCACACTAATTGAGAAAAATGCGTTCTGCAGCCACCTGCATCGCAGCATCACTGTGTGTTTGGTGGCATGTCTGATATTTACAATCTGAAAGCCAAATTTGCGAAGTATTTGTTGATGTTGTCACATCAGTTTTATGTCAAAACTCTGGCTGCTATGTTTTGTGTTGTAAGTGCAACACAGCATTTCTGTCTTTGCCAGTCTAACAAATAAACAGTTTCAGTTTGTGGAACTTAGTCATTTGTTTTTATGTACAATTTTGTTTGTTATTGTTAAACAGGTGTGA